CATCCGCCATTCTCTAGTGCATACTCTAACACTGCTCGCTGCAATGCACGGACCCTCATCACAGAAGCCCTGCTCTCCTTTGTTGACTAAGCACAGGCAGTAAGCATTGCTGAGGAGCTAATGCTGGGGCAGAACAGGCCCCACACCCTCACAGAAGGCTGACTGTATGTGGACCTGAAACAGAACCTGAAGCATGAGGATAGTGTTCCACATAGACAAAAGGAAGAAAGGGGAAGGACTCAGCTGCCATGCTGCTCCTCCTCTCATCAGTGCAGCTGCAGGGTGGGTGCTCCAGAGGGTACAATGGAGAACAAGAGAAAGACAATTAGGTGCCAGGGCCATTGCCTCAAAACAAATGCTCTGAGTCACCTGGCAATGGGGACTATGCTAATGGGTTCAATGAGCAACTGTGCCAAGCACAAGCTTTGCACAATGACAAGACAAACCACCAATGGTAATACATGAGGGCCCCAGGATCCCATATGCCCCAAACCAGATTCCTGTAGGAGTCCTCCCATGCCCACTGCTGCTACTCAGCTCCAGGCAGAAATGTCCATGCTGTAACACCAGCCTCAGACTGTACCACAGAGGCAACTCTGGGAAGGTGTCTGCTGTGGGTAGCAAGCTTGGAATTAGGGTCCCAGTCAGGTCACCAGACAGGACAGTGCGCTGGGCAGGTCACTCCAGGAACTGTGGTAGTAATCCCATTGAACCCCAGTCTATGTCATGGCAAGCGCTGGGCTCTTCCCTAGTCTTCTGGTCTCGGGGTTTAAGGTCAAAAGCCCCACAGAACAGAGAGTACTCTCCTCTCTGGTGGGTTCCAGGGGAGGGGAAACAAGCTGGTCTCTGTCAAAGCATCACACTGATGAACCCAGAAGCTCCCATTTACATAAGGCATGGTCCCAAGCCAGCCTTTAGAGACACAGTGCTCAGGTCCCACCAGGCACCAAAGGTACCAAGTGTCATGGCTGTCTGACTATAGCTCTGCCAAATCCACATCCCCAGCAGCCCGGACAGAGCAAACTCAGCCTCTTTGTGTGTGCTGTTATTGTTTTCTGAAGAATACTTTCTGGATTGACGTGACTTCACACGCAAGATTGCTCATTCATAAAGTCACACGTCAGAGTTCTGCTTGTCTCTTCACCTTTAGCTGGCAACCATGACCATCACCAAGTAGCCTACTGTAGTACATTTCTAAACTACACCTGAAAAAGATTCAGTGTCATCTACAATGCTCCCATATTAAGACTGAAGGCAGAAGATGGGGTGGTGGTGGTGCACACTTTTATCCCAGCACTCAGGAGGCACAGGCAGAAGAATCTCTGAATTTGAAGTCAGCCTGTTCTACAGATGAGTACCAGGACAGCTAAGGGCTACACAGAGAAATTCTGTCCTGAGAAAAAAGGAAAAGAAAGAGGGAGAGAAAAGGAGAGAGAGAGAGAGAGAGAGAGAGCGCAAGAGAATGAAGGCAGCAGCTGGATAGTACCCAAGGTGGTTTCAGCCAGGGAGTCCCAAAGAAGCCTGGGGCCCCCAGTGGTATGTGGTATACACAGACTCAAGTTCAAGCAACTGCTGGAACCAGGTTGCACGTCAGGGGTCTAAAGGGTGGTGCCCCTCAAGGGAGCAGGTTCGTCAGATCCCATGGAGATCTGTGCCCACAAAGTGAAAAGGCACCAGACCGTAGTGTGGCAGCCTCCAATGTGATGATGGGGAGTGAGCAATTCCCACTCTCCTCCTGCACCTTGATCAAACCACCTCCCCTACTCTTCCCTTCCTCACGCTCATCCGCCCCCCAATCCCCGGTGTCAGAGAAAGTAAGGACTTTACCTTACCCTACTAACTTCATGAACTCAAATTCAAAAGGAGTTGTTTTCTCAATTTTTATTTTTCTAAAGAGCTCTTACAACTAAGAAAAAAAAATTTAAAGTCCTCCCACTGAAAAAATGTGAAAGTCAAAAGGAAGTTCACGAAACACAAGTGGCTATCCAGTGTGCGGACAACCGTACTGCACTACCTTACTTACAGGCAGTGAGATTAGCGGTCAGAGATCTGTCCATCAGTGTTAAAGATCTGAGAATACTGCATAATAAGAAACACACAGAAAAGAGCTCAGTTGTTAAAGAGAACTTGCTGCTCTTGCAGAGGAAGGACCTGGGCTCTCAGCACCCACAGCTCACGATCATTTCTAACTCCAGTTCCAAGGGCTCTTCAGGCACCATGCACACACTCAATGTACATACAGGCACGCGCGCACGCGCAAAAACAGTATTTTCAAAAAATTTTTTACACGATGAAATCCAACACCTTACACCTGCTAATGAAGCACACGCTGGCCCTAAGGGGAACACAGAAACAGATACAGCGCCTTTGGAGGCGCTCTGGGACTGCAGTCTAAACGACAAGTACAGCCTCTTACCTGCAACATATATTGGTAACGTCTACAGATTTACTCACAGATGCACTCCCCATGCCTGCAGCCTGCATTCCCAGATGCCATCTTCTACATAGCAACTACATCTCTTTCTCCCACACACCTTCATCCTAGAAGGACCCCTTTGTCACATCCCCTAGCTGTGCTGTTGGCCTGCTGCAGGACCTAAAAGGAAGGGTCAGAGCTATCTGAGCCTACATCTCCTGCTGCAAGTGCAGTCCACAGCTCAGAAGCACTACAACCACATAAGCTTATCTGAATCGTACACTGGGGGCTAAGGGTATGGTCCAGCAGGGGAACATGTTCTGAGCACAACGGGCTCTACACACAGAACCTAACAAACAGATCACAGATCATCCCATTCAAGGCTGGTACATTGGAGCCTATGCTGCCATGGTGACCAGGTCATTCTTGTGCCTACATCTGCACTGCCAGAGTCTTTACTCTACAGAAGGGTCATCATCACACTCTTTTAAAGATCTGTGTGCATATCTGTGGACTCCTGTATGTGAATATAAATATGTGCATACCACAGCACACATGAAGGTCAGCACTCCATGCCTTCACTTTGTTTGAGGATGTCCTATTGTTTGTCCCTGTGTACTTCCTTCCCATCTTGCTGGAGGAGTGCTGTGGCTACAGATACATGAATCCAGCGTTAAGTTTGTTTCAGGATAAAGACACTTGCTGCCCAAGCTAGATGACCTGAATTCTATTCCAGGACCCCATGGCAGAAGGAGAAATGATTCAGGTACATATATAGGTATACATATGTAGGTACACGCACTCACAACCATGCGCACATGTGCACACACATACACGCGCACACACACACACACCCCGGCACACACAAATAAGTAAATTTAAGAAAGAAAGCCAACTTCCTGCTGGTGAATCATCTGTCTGTGGGAAGGCCTGAGGAAGCCTGGTACAGGAGTGTCCTTTCGTTTAATTTGTTCTGTTTCTAAACAGTGTATATCTATTATCCAGCTGAGAAGCAAAAGCATACACACTGCCATCTAAAGATAGGTAGTGACACAAGCCTCTATTATTAAGCTGACGGGAAGAGGGCAGAATGGATCTTCTTCCTATTCCCTGTTGTTTGTTTTCTGTTGGTTTTGGTTTTTTGAAATAGGGTTTCTCTGTGTAGCCTGACTGTCCTGGAACTCACTCTGTAGAACAGGCTGTCCTTAAACCCATAGAGATCCACCTGCCTCTGCCTCCTCTGACCAGGATTAAAGGCATGGGCCACCACCTGGTATGTTCTTTCTTTTAATACCACCTTGTTTTTTCCCCTCATCTCTCAGAAAACAGGATGACCTAGCTGGGTGGTGGAGGCGCACCCCTTTAATCCCAGCACTCAGGAGGCAGAGGCAGGTGGATCTCTGTGAGTTCAAGGCCAGTCTGGTCTACAAAGTGAGTTCCAGGACAGGCTCTAAAGATACACAAAAGCAAGAAAAAAATAAAGGAAGGAAGGAAGGAAGGAAGAAAAACAGGATGACCTAAAAATGTCAACGCTCAGCTTAAGTCCCTAAATGTTAGTAGTTCAAATGCTGCTCCCCAGCCTCCCTGACTGGGTGAATGCATGAGTCCCTCAGGCTCCTGTGCTTGAGTGGCTTATCCACATCAATGGTGTGGCTCTAGAGGCTATGGACCCTTCAAGAGATAGGGCCTAGCTGGCAGACCTGAGAGACACTAGCCAGCCCTGCTTTCTGAATCCTAACATACCAGCAGATATGTGAACACTGTGAGCTCTGCCCACCAAACCTTTCCCATCATCGGAATTAGAGGGTTGTTGGAGTCAACAAAAACGTAATCTGCCCAGCACTGTGTGCCATCCCCTTTCACTCTTGGGAACAAGGTGACACTGAGAAGAGCAGCATCTCAGGAAACACAGATTCACAGTCTCCTCCTCCTCACCATCACCATACCTCCCCCATATCCACGGGCCCATCTCTCTCCCTGCACCTCGCCTTCAGAAATGACAGTTACAGTTTGAGAGAAGTGATGCAGGGTATTTACGGACCTGCTGGAAGAGAGGATCAGAACACCCATCTATACTTCTGCCCAGCTGCTGGCCTCACCCCACACCTAGTCTGTCCTTTATCTTCTCATCAGACACAAAAGGATGAACCCCTAGCTCACAAATGTGCAACGCCCACCTCCACCTACCCAAAGCCCCAGTGCTCTCGGAATATAAGCTAACAGTCCTACTCCTGCCGGGCATGAGGCTACAGCAACGTGGAAAGGATGGCACAGTGGCACAGAGTACAGACACTACAGCCATAGGGGCATCTACACAGCCTGGCTCTGCCTTTCCAAGTCAATGGCCTGAAACTGGCTGCTTTACAGCCCACATCACCCAATATGGGAGAACGGGCCCACGACACCCTCACATGCTGTTAGGATTCAGTCAGTTAATACATAAAGCTCTGAAATCAGGGTCTCACACATAGCTGAGACTTCATGTTAGCTGCTTATTACAACGGTTACTGTCACTACTGATCATGACATGCAAATACAAGGAGTGCATAGGACATCTTAATGACTCAATGTTAGCATTTCATACCTGACACTCAGACATTGCCATGGTTTTGTACGGAAAAGAATCAGACGCTTACTGTCATCAGTTAAAGCAAAATAGCTGCCAGACTTGGAGAAGGTGGACGCCAGAATCGTGTCGCTCCCCTTGTCTACGGGCTGTCCATTCTCCCTGAAGAAGGGCAGGGGAAGAAAGAAAAACAATTAGGGTCACCTGAGCTGCCAGGCTTGTCCAATCTAACAGAGGTAGAAAATGCTTAGTCAAGCAGTTCATGTAGCCAGCGCATGATGAAAGACTAAGGGGAAGTTTAAAGAACGGCTTAAATTTTACAAGCTGTGAAACCTAACTCAACAGGATCTCTCTGCAAACAAGCTAACATCCATTGCAGGCTGGAAGGACCCTTAGCAATCACACGGCCTAACCTTCATAGGCATGGACTAATCCAAGGCTAGAGGCAGGGACCTGCGACATTAATAAACTGAGTCACAAGACCAAGCTACCACACAGAACAATCACGCTGCTGCAGACCTTTCAATCAGTTAATTTCCCACGTCTGCCTGCAATGCATTTGAAATGGTCACTATTACTTTAAGGGGCCAGTGACAAAAATGATTACTAAAGACACTAAGAGTATTTGGGAAGATCCTAAGTTATTCCCACATTTCTAATGTTACCACAACTAGGTAACAGGAACTACAACTTGGACGAGCCAGTAATTCCTGCGTGGCTTACTGGTCTCACCACTCAAACCACCAGTGAGCCCGATTCCCCACCATCTCACCCTTTATCTTCTGGGGCAGACTTCTCTGCAGCACTGCAGTCATACGTGAAGACGCGGTCATCATCACTAGGGGGAAGAAACAATGAGAACTGATTAACACACAGGATCGATTCTTCTTACTATTGGACAAAAACACCTCATCATCACTGAATTATGGACCTTCTCCAAGACAGAGAAGAGCCAAGAACTGTCTGGCATCTGCTTAATCTCCTAATGAGCTGCATCATGAACAGTCAGCATGGTTCTGTTCCCAATCAGTTCAGCCTGGCATGGAGGTGCACGCCTGGAATCAATCTACCCTTCCTTCAGGCACCAAGATGCTGACTCTAAGAAATTATGTTCTGATATTGTTTTCAACTGGGTTCTGCTCCCAAATTCAAAACAGCTGAGGTTGTCCTTGCATGGTTCAGAAACATGTCTCACCTGCTGTGTTAAAAAAAAAAAACAAACCATGAACCTTAGGCACCTACTTATAGAAATCACCCACTTTCCCTATTGGAACCTAAGCTCCCTTCCGTTGCTTTGACCCGGTACCCTAGCACATTAAAGCACCTTTTACTATTGATGTGGCTGCAAAAAAGGCTTTTCCAATTAAACACTGAGTGAAGAAAGAAACGTCATTTTCCAAGTCTGAAACCCTTGTTGGTCACTAGCATCGCCCCAAGATACAAACTGTGGAACACTCCTAATCTTCAAATGTCAAAGTACCAAAACTAAATGGGAAAAGTAAAAGAAGCCAAAACGGCCTGCCACGGATTCCTTGGCTCCTGGGTCCTAACTACATGCTCAACACGGACTGATTTATGAATCCTTTAACCGAGCACTACGGATACATACATAAAGTCGGAAATAACATAAAGCAAAACCAGTAATATGAAGGACCTCTAGGGAGATGCCCACTTCAGGTTCTGCGTGCAACCTGGGTTTGGGAGGCGTCGGGTTAAGGGCCTAAAAATTCTGAAGAGCAACCAGAGCCGGGTTGCTGGGCACAGACACGGGAGAGGAAGCACGTTCTGCGCTCAGTGAGAGCCCGCTGAATTCGCCAATACATGCCCCTCAACAGGGAGGTTCCAAGTAGGTCAGCCTCGAACACTAGGACCCGAAGTCTGGTCTACGCGACACCCACGTGATACAACCCTCCCGAGGACGCGCAGGCGCCACTGAGTCCGGAAGTGTTCCGACTCTGAACGGAGAAGAGCGCCCCGAGCCGCCGTGCAGGTCGTGGGGTGCTGGGTTGGCGAGAGGGAACTCCGAAGGCAAGGACTCCGGGAGAAGGTCTCACAGGGGATAGCGGTGATACGGCCCCGCGCCGGCCGCCCTCGGCCCAAGCCTCTCACCTGCTCGCAGTGGAGATGGCCAAGAACCGGCTGCCGCCCCGCACCACCAGCGTTTGTCCGCACAGCGCCAGCCCCGCGGAGCTCGCCATGGGCCCGCCCGCGGCCTCCGCACACGTGCGACGCACAGCGCCTTTCCTGCTGGCGCTGGCTAGTGACGTCACTCGGCGCCGCGCGTAGGGCGTGCCTGCCTGGAGCATGCGCATACCGAGTGGTCTCCTTTGCGCTGAGTACTCCCGGGCGCTAGGGCTAGACTCGGTTATCACGTGCCCCGAATGTGCCTCTCGTATTGATTGATTAGCTTTTCCTGCCGTCAGCTTCGGTGGTTGTAAAGCTTCCTCTTGGACAGAGCCTGGTACCCACTGGGTAAAAAGCTGCTGAGTGAATGGCGTCAGTGCTGGATGGCCAGACCATGTGACCGCATGCGCGTGTGGCTGTCTCAGTTGCATCAAGGCAGAGGTCGCTGGAAATGTTCTTCTTACCCTCCTCGTGTTGAACAAAGACGCCTTGAACCCCAAGTGTCAGACGTGTTTAATGACGTGCCTCCCCAAATCCCCGAAAGGTTTATTCCATCCCAGTGACTCTCAAAGTTCTGAATGCTGTAGTCTCTTATAGGTTGGATGTGGGCCCCCCCCCAGACAGTTCCTAAAAAGATGGTTTACCTGCCCCACCCACCCATCACATCACATCCTAGTGAAGGTAAACTACTTGAGCGGGTCAGTCTATGTCCTGCCACAAAGTCACAGTCACTGTACTGTGTAGAATTGCCGTCTTAACGCTGCGTGGTTCCCTGAGTGAGCCTATTTTATAAAGCAGTAGTTGACTCCATTTTTACCTCAAACTGAGTCAGAATGACTTCATTTTGCTTGAGCAAATAAACAATCACCATCTGTCTAATGCAAAGCATAGACTGAAAAATCACTTGTGCAAGTGAAATCACCGTCTACAAATGTATCATGGGTGAACCAAAATCTTATCAGAGAAGCCAGGTCCTGAGCTTATCAAATGCCAATGAATAATGCAAGCCTGGGCCTTAGAGAGAAAGTGGAGCCTCATGCTAAGGTAACTCGGGACCCATCTGTCGTCAAGCCCTCCTACACAGTCCTGACAGTGTAGAAAAGCACAAACGTGCTCATTTACGTAACAGCTTACTCAAACACTAACATGTCAAGGGGGCAGGGGAGTGGGGACACGACACCCACACATGACAGGATCCTTGGTCTATGACAATTCTGAAGCCCACTGTGCAAAGTTTTTAGTATTTAAAAGAGAGGGTTTTGCCTTGACAGGGCTTGAGGTCTGCCCTTTTAAGTGCCTCTCCTCCAGAATCTTCTTGGTTGCTTTGATGAAAGTGCCTGTTGAGCAACATTCTCCCCTTACTTCCTGCCCTTGGGAAATCTGGAACCAGGGGCCTTTGTTCCTGTTAAATTCCCAGTTTACCTTACACTTGTTGGAGCCGCTTCAGTCCAGCTTTCTGGAAGGCTGTTCAGTGTTACCGCCCCTAAAAAAGGCTCCGATTTAAACATAGCTGAGAAGTTATTAGCAACTGATGGCTGCTGGGAGAGGAGGAGCCAGCTGTCTTCAAGAATGTGGCCTCTGCCAAACTAGGCCCTCTGAAAGTGGGTGACAGTTGAGCGGCTGGAGCAGTCTGTGGGGCCACTGGCAGTGGGATCAGGATTTATCCCTAGTGTTTGAATTGGTGTTTTGGAGCCCATTCTCTTTGAAGGGATACCTTGCTCAGCCTAGGTATAGGGCAAAGGGCCTTGGTTCTGACTCAAAGTGATGTTTTTGTTGATTTTGTTGACTCCTCATGGGAAGCCTTACTCTCTCTAAGGAGTTGGAGGGGGCAAAAGGAGAGAGGGAGAGGAAACTGGGATTGGTATGTAAAATGAGAAAAGATTATTAAATAAATAAATAGGGGGAAAAAGGAATGTGGCCTCTGAGAAGCCATATGACCCATAATCTAGTAGATGGTTCCCCACTCATTCATGCTGGCAGCACCAAGAGACTCAGTGAACTAAACATACACACACACTCACATTCACACACACAGACACACTCTCTCACACACATACACGAAATTGGGAGGGAATAGTGGCGGTGAGGAGAGGGAAGGAGCTGGAGAGGAAGGAATGGAGGACGGACTTTATCAAAACACATATGCATGTATGGAATTCTTAATAAAAATAAATAAAAGAGGGCTAGAGAGATGGCTCAGAGGTTAAGAGCATTGCCTGCTCTTCTAAAGGTCCTGAGTTCAATTCCCAGCAACAACATGGTGGCTCACAATCATCTGTAATGAGGTCTGGTGCCCTCTTCTGGTCAGCAGGCATACACACAGACAGAATATTGTACACGTAATAAATAAATAAATTAAAAAAAAATAAAAGAGCAGAGCCAGGTCAGGTAGTGGTAGAACACACCCTTAATCCCAACACCTGGGAGGCAGAGGCTGGGGAGCTCTCAGTTCAACCAGCCTGGTCTACAGAGTGCATTACAAGAGAGTCAGGGCTACACAGAAAAACTCTGTCTCAAAAAAACCAAAATAGTCCGGTGGTGGTGGCTCACACTCAGCACCCAGCACTCAGAAGGAGAGGCAGACAGATCTCTGAATTTGAGGCCAACCGGTCTACAGAGCAAATTTCAGGACAGCCAGGCTTACACAGAGAAACCCTGTTTTGAAAAAACAATAAATAAATAAATAAATAAATAAATAAAAGAGCCTAGCATGGTGGCAATGCCTTTAATCCCAGTACTCAGGAGGCAGAGGGAGGCAAATCTCTCTGTAAGTTCTACTCTACATATCCAGTTCCAGACCAGTAAGGACTACATAGTGAGACCCTGCCTCAAAAAAACAACAACAAAAAAGAAACTAGAGAGATGGCTCAGCAGTCAAGAATGTGTGCTGCTCTTCCAGAATGCCTGCACCCAGGCAGCTCACAATTGCCTCTAACTACTTATAGAGCATCTGATGTCTGCTCCTGGCCTCCATGGACACTGAACTCACATGCCCAACGCCTGAACTCACACGCACAAATTCACACACACACACACACACACACACACACACATACACACAATTTAAAAATAAAAATAAATAAATTTAACTTCCTCCTGAATTCTTTTATGTGCTGGTGTCAAATATCAAACCCCTGAGCAAATGCTACCCAGAAATAATCACTCTGGCAGCAGGTTCAGTTTTAGAATTTAGTAGGCAACTCACTTTGCATCTGTGTCTCACCCCTACCCCCTCCTCTCTCTTCATCCTTCCAATCCTCCTCTCCCCGCTCCTCCCTCACTGCTAGCTACTCAGTTTCCTTCCCCCCACTTTCAAATAATTGTACCAATTAAATTGTCCAGTTCCCCCAGGACCCTGCTGGGATACTGATTAGGAAATAATTGAATGTATAAGACTGTTTGGGAGAAAAATAGCTTGTCTACAGTGTGTAGAAACACCTTTTCTTTTCCTCCAATAGCTTCTCTTATCTCATAGTATTGTCTGACATTATCCTTTAAGGGCATAGAAAAAATATTTAAAGATATTCTTAACAAAATATACGGGGTTTTGCTAACATAATGGGATCTTTTAAAATTATATTCGGTATTTGTTCCTGCTGTCTAAAAAGATGCAGTTTATAGTTCTGTAAATTACTCTTTCATCCATTAGTTTTTCTGAATTCTCATCATGTTTCTCACTAGCTCCTGGGACTTGCTAACAGACACTGCCAGCTATCCTGGCATGTGGCCATCTGCTCTTGCCAAGGGAGGGGCTGTTGCAGGCTGCTCCTAGGTCTCCAGGTCAGCTGTGTGCCAGATGGGCTTAGCCAGAGTTCCCAGACACAAAAATGTGTTCCCCAACAGCTCCTGCCACTGTTGGGCAAGCCCATGACGATCCCTGTCACCCACAAGTGACCCCACATTGGCTTTGTGGCACTACCTCGTCTCCATCCCAAAGGAGATGGTGATTTGCTGCTGAGGAGAAGCTCTTCCGCCCTTATGTCATGATGCTCTGTGCTTAATTGTCCCCACCAAAATTCACACTGAAATTGAGTCTTGGAGACTAGAAAGACAGTGCAGGGGTTAAGAGCATTACCTGCTCTTTCAGAGAACCCAGGTGTAATTCCCAGGACCCATGTGGTGGCTCACAATTGTCTGCATCTCCAGTTTCAGGGAATCAATCACCCTCTTCTGACCTTGGTGGGTACTATATCCACATGGTGCACGGCCATACATTCAGGCAATACACCCATACACATAAAACAAAAAGAAAGAAATCACAGCCTGGTGTGGTGACACACACCTTTAATCTCAGCACTCAAAAGGCAGAGAGGCAAGCAGATCTCTGTGGGTTCAATGCCACTATGATCTACATAGTGAGTTCCAGGACAACCAGGGCTATGCAGAGAGACCCCACCTCAAAAAGAAATATAATAAATAATTTTTGAAAATATATTTATGTATTTGATGTATATGAGTGTTTTGTCTTCATGTAAGTCTGCACACCAGAAGAGGGCATCAGATTGTGAGTTGCCATGTGGGTGCTGGGAATTGAACTTTGGACCTCTGGAAGAGCAGTTCTTAACTACTAAGCATCTCTCCAGCCCCTAAATAAGTCTTGTTTTTTGTGTGTGCACTATTTTGCTTATTTTACATGTGTGCTTTTACCAGTGTGGTGGAGATTCGAACTCAGGTCCTCATGACTACACAGTAAGTGCCCTTACCCACGGAGCCATCTTCCCTGTTAAATAACTTGTTTTTATATAAAAAAGAATTCAGGCTTCACTTTGAAGTATTAAGCAATCAGGCTAGATGGGATAGTGTAGAGGTAACTAGGTCACAGGAGACAGAAGCACCCATGCAACAGCAGGCCAAAGAGGTCTCAGGACTGGGTCTGTTAGCGAGATCAGGCTGGCCTCGAACTCACAGAGATTCACCTGCCTCTGCGCCCGAGTGCTGGGATTAAAAGTGTGTGCCACCGCTACCCGGCTGAACCTTTATTCTTTATGAATTAGCCAGTGTTCAGTAATGAGTTAAGTGTCAGGCTATGGACCCAAATAATCAGCCAGTGTTTGTTTGCTTGTTTGTTTGTTTCGAGACAGGGTTTCTCTGTAGCTTTGGAGTCTGTCCTGGAACTCACTCTGTAGATCAG